TGTATTTGTTCTGTTTAAAGTCCTGACGTAAATTTTCTGTGTTTTTAGTGAAATTGAGACTCAGAAGTTTGTTCAAGAGGAGCTCGGTAACATCAGTATGCCAGAGATGAATGGCAACGAAGGACGCTTCCAATACAACATCACTGAGTACTAATATTACGTTAAGGCAATACTTTAAGTGAACTTAACATGTGTATTAATAGGTTCTCTTTCTCTCGTCTGTCATCATGTGAAGATAAAAGAGTTGAATCTTACTCATAGCTGACCTCCAATTCATCCCTGAAGTTGGTTTGTTGTTCGATGTTCAGACTCATCGATATCACTGAGTTTCCACCGACGGATCCTCTACTGGTTCTTGTTAGTTCTCCCACAGAACACTGACTTAACTCTAATCATTCTCCTATATAACACTAACTAGATTCTAATTGTTCTTATGTAGAACACTGATTAACTCTAATCATTCTCCTATAGAACCCTAATATAACTAATCATTCTTCTAGAACAGTTACTCCACTCTAATCATTGTCCTATAGAACACTAATATCTCTAATAGTTCTTCTACAGAACACAAGTAGTTCTTCTACATATCACTAATATAACTAATAGTTCTCCTAGCAGCACAAATATAACTAATAGTTCTCCTCTAGAACACTAATGTAATTCTAACGGTTCTCCTACAGAATACTAACATAACTCTAATAGTTCTCCTACAGGACACTAAAGCATTTGAATAGTTCTCCTATATAACAATATAACTCTAATAGTTCTCCTACATAATTATTATAACGCCAATAGTTCTTCCACAGAACAATAATATAACTCAAGTAGTTCTCCTACATATCACTATATAACTGTGATGGTTCTTCTACTCAACACTAATGTAACTAATATAATCTGACCTGTTTGAATCCAGATAGTTGAATGATCATATGATGAAGATGATGATGAGGACAGTCATCTTCCTGTCGGTGATGAAGTCTTGTTCTATCTCAGTTATGACACAGGAAACATCAACGCGTCGGCTGAAGGCGTGAACATCAACACGGTTCTGAATCTAATCAGAGATGATGAAGGACGACTGAAGATCAATAACATCACCTGTGATGCCAAAATTGACAAAATGAAGGCAAGTTCAGCGGAACACTTGGGTAAACACACTGATGTACTAATCAACAATGATTAATGATTATTGTTAATAGAATTGATTTGGTCATCAATAATGATTACTGTTAATTACACCAATGTAATAATCAATATGATAATGAATAAATAATCACTGATCAACAATTAACTATCAATAATATCTAATCACCAACATCATGTGACCTCAGAACCAATCAGGAACTGTCATCACGTGTATTTTGTTTCAGGAGAGTTTACGACTTCCTATCCAGTTTTCTGACAACAGGCATGCGCTTCCTCCTCAACCAAAAGGTCTCACACCTGTTGTCTGTCTGTATGTCTGTCTGTTTGTCTGTCTGTCTGTCTCACCTGGCTATCCCACTAACCTGTCTCTGTCTCTCTGACCTGTCTCTTTATTAGATCTGTCCCGCTCTGGATCACGCTGCTCTGGTTCATGTGAACTTGATGTTGGAGACAATCCCAGTGAGACGGAGGTCGATCAGTATATTGGGATCGATTATTCTCTGATTGATGATCCGGTGGTGACGTCCAGGAGCCTCGACATGCACTTCAGGGTCAGTCTCCGACACTGATGATCTTTTAGAATCTGGTGTAAGATGACAGTAACAGTGAGTGTATTGTGTCTGCAGGGTATGTTCTTCGACCTGTCTGATCAGAATGACACGTTAGTGAACTACGCCGTCGACCCGGTCATCAGAGAGTACGACCGGATGATTTACCTCGCTCTGTCCGAGTTCTTCTTCGACAGTGGTGTTTGCTTACTACAGAGCAGGAGTCTTCCAGATGCATATCGTCAACGAGAAGGTCACAACCACCACAGACTACCAAAAATCACTACAGACCTCCAACACCCCCACAGACCTTCAAAACCATCACAGACAACTAAAAACCACTACAGACCTTCAAAACCACCACAGATCTTGAATACCACCATAGACCCTGAAAATCACCAAAGACTGCCAAAAATCACTACAGACCCCCAAAACTATCAGAGACCCTATAAAACCACCATAGACCCCCAAAACAACCGCAAGACACCACAAAGTCTTCCAGATAGTCCCCTGAACGCCAGCTCCTTCCCTGTAAACATAGACCCTCATGACGCTGACAGGACGCTGGTGCACTCTGGCTTCCATTTCCTCATAATATGACTGAAGCTCTAAAACAGATTGGACTGTAACCCTGAACCACCAAAGCAAACAGGACAAGGTTGCTCCTCAGAGCTGAACTGATCCTGTTCCTGTTTGTTGTCTCATCCTTCAGATGCCCAAAGACCTGGAGATGTTGTTGAGAACCACCTACTTTGGAACCATCATGATGCTGGTGAGCAGAACCACCACAGAAATAGTCACACAGTGGAGATATAGTAGAAAAACAGAGACAGCAGAAATAGCAGAGACACAGTGACATAAAGTTGAGACACCAGTGGAAACAATCTATTTATATTAGTCAGACTACTGTGATCTACTGATAAACTGTGTACTATTTAATTCTGCATATTATTACTGGGTATTATTACATAAGTACTGCACAGAGCTGTTGTACTTTATTATTGTAGTACTATACTACATATATGTTTTCTGGATAGAACCCGGTGTAGTACTGCAATACTATGTGTTCTCCCTGTGTGTTCTGGGCAGAACCCGGCTCTGGTGGATGCTCCGCTCTCTCTGCAGATCGCCGTGGTCTCACCTCCAAAAACCTCCATCAAGACATCCGGGGCAACAGTCGTCATGACAGCCATCATTAAGGTGATGCTGCTGCCTCCAAGTCAGCCTCCGGTCCAGCTCAGCAGCATGACCATGGTACGCACACACCAACCCAACCAGTTTAACCAGTTTAACCAGTTTAACCAGGTAGGTCTCCAGTCCAGCTCAACAGCGTGACCATGGTACGCAGACACCAACCCAACCAGTTTAACCAGTTTAACCAGGTAGGTCTCCAGTCCAGCTCAACAGCGTGACCATGGTACGCAGACACCAACCCAACCAGTTTAACCAGTTTAACTAGTTTAACCTGGTAGGTCTCCAGTCCAGCTCAACAGCATGACCATGGTACGCACACACCAACCCAACCAGTTTAACCAGTTTAACCTGGTAGGTCTCCAGTCCAGCTCAACAGCATGACCATGGTACGCACACACCAACCCAACCAGTTTAACCAGTTTAACTAGTTTAACCAGGTCAGCCTCCAGGCCAGCTCAGCAGCATGACATGATGGTACGCACACACCAACCCAACCAGTTTAACCAGTTTAACTAGTTTAACCAGGTCAGCCTCCGGGCCAGCTCAACAGCATGACCATGGTACGCAGACACCAACCCAACCAGTTTAACCAGTTTAACTAGTTTAAACAGGTAGGTCTCCAGTCCAGCTCAACAGCATGACCATGGTACGCACACACCAACCCACCAGTTTAACCAGTTTAACTAGTTTAACCTGGTAGGTCTCCAGTCCAGCTCAACAGCATGACCATGGTACGCACACACCAACCCAACCAGTTTAACCAGTTTAACTAGTTTAAACAGGTAGGTCTCCAGTCCAGCTCAACAGCATGACCATGGTACGCAGACACCAACCCAACCAGTTTAACCAGTTTAACTAGTTTAACCAGGTCAGCCTCCAGTCCAGCTCAACAGCATGACCATGGTACGCACACACCAACCCAACCAGTTTAACCAGTTTAACTAGTTTAACCAGGTCAGCCTCCAGTCCAGCTCAGCAGCATGACCATGGTACGCACCAACCCAACCAGTTTAACCAGTTTAACTAGTTTAACCAGGTCAGCCTCCGGGCCAGCTCAACAGCATGACCATGGTACGCAGACACCAACCCAACCAGTTTAACCAGTTTAACTAGTTTAAACAGGTAGGTCTCCAGTCCAGCTCAACAGCATGACCATGGTACGCACACACCAACCCAACCAGTTTAACCAGTTTAACTAGTTTAACCTGGTAGGTCTCCAGTCCAGCTCAACAGCATGACCATGGTACGCACACACCAACCCAACCAGTTTAACCAGTTTAACTAGTTTAACCAGGTCAGCCTCCAGTCCAGCTCAACAGCATGACCATGGTACGCACACACCCCCAACCAGTTTAACCAGTTTAACTAGTTTAACCAGGTCAGCCTCCAGTCCAGCTCAACAGCATGACCATGGTACGCACACACCAACCCAACCAGTTTAACCAGTTTAACTAGTTTAAACAGGTAGGTCTCCAGTCCAGCTCAACAGCATGACCATGGTACGCAGACACCAACCCAACCAGTTTAACCAGTTTAACCAGTTTAACCTGGT